TTGGTTACTGTACTCCATCATCAAATATTACGTTATTTTTAAGTTTTTTTTTTTCTTTCCGGTTAATTAATTGTCAATGAAATTAAATGTGTTAATTTTAAAATGTGCTGGAAAATAAAGAGAGCGGAAGGCGAGTTGGCTTAGCTTTGTATGTGGTCATCAATTCAATGATTGGTGTTATGCAAAAAGACTCCCAAGTCCCTTGTAAGATGTGCTTTCCTACGGAACTAATGAAGGGCTGTTTCGGATTTTCAGTTGACTTAAAACGTGGAGAGTACTATGATTAACTCCACCGGTGGAAAAAAAATGGACAATCACATAGCTCGTACGAACCCAAACCAAAAAGGGAATTATAAAACAAATGGCAAATTACATTTTTGGTCTCCATCTTGCATTTAATTTGTCTTTTAAAGTGACATTTTTAATATGTAAACTATTTAATTTATGAGTTAACTAATAGGTAATTTATACGGAAAGATGATGTGATAATTAACATGTTGAGAAAAGTTTGAAAAAAATTAAATATTTTTCATTAAGGTGTGGACATCAACTTTTTATTAGGCTTCTTCAATTGGATAAAAACAGAAATAGATCTGGAATAAATTCAATAATCTAATATGTTAATTTTAATATTATTTTTCCATAAAGACAAGACAATTAGTGATCAACTCAACTCAATTACTAAATACAAATCGAATCTAGATCCGAAAAGTCAAACATAAGAACAAATTTTCAAAACTTCGTAGAAAAATAAATGTCATTTTCAAAACATTAAGAACTAAATACAAATTAGATTCAAACTTCATAGTTCTAGGGCTAAAGAAATCGAGTCTATACAGGGGCCAAAGTGTAATTTGATCAAATTATTTTAAAAAAACAAATCAGATAGAGAGAGAAACAAAGTAATAAACGCGAAGCCTCTGGATTCTCTTTCTATCTTTTTTTTTTAAATTTAAAAAAGCATGGTTCCACCAATGAGAAGCCACCAAGTGTTAGTGGGTTTAGGGTTCCAAGCCGAAATCCACGGGAAAATGGAGTCCTTGTCTGCAAAATTGACTCCACCAGAATTCCCACTCCCTCTCCGGCCAAAAAACCAAACTGCGAGGAAAAAACTCATCAAGTGGAGAAAGGAAAAAAAGGAAAAAAAGAAAAAGATTAGAGCTTTTCGTCTCTGTCTGTGCGTTGAAGTTGCAGAGATCCAGAGGTTTCCGAAATGGGCTTAATTTCAAACTTGTTGAAGGAGAAGAAGCATTCCCAGTTCATCAAAAAGCTCATTCCATGGACTATTTACGCCCTTCTTCCCATAGCCCTCTTCCGACTATACTTCCATCCCATCCATCTTCCAGATTCCTCCATTGATCAAATAACCCAAATCGCCGTTTCATCATCCTCTTCTTCTTCTTCTTCTCTCTCACCTCCTCCTTCCTCTGTTCGCGAAGGTACGACACCAGTGAGCGTCTTTATTACTCTGTAATTTCAGGTTCTGGGTTTGGTACGATATGAATGGATGTGTTTTTTTTTCTCTCTCATTTACTAACAAAGAATCTGCAAATTTGATTGCTTTCCGCAGAGGAAGTAAATGCGATTAATGAAACTCCATGCGACTACACCGACGGGAAATGGGTCCCCGACAAGTTGGGACCTTTATACAATGGCTCGACCTGCGGTACAATCAAAGAAGCCCAAAATTGCATCGCCCATGGCCGCTCTGACTTGGGGTTTCTCTACTGGCGGTGGAAGCCCCACAGATGCAGCCTCCCGAGGTTCGACCCCAACAAATTTCTCCACCTCATGACCCACAAACATATCACCTTCATCGGCGATTCCATGGCCAGAAACCAACTCGAATCGCTCCTCTGTTTACTGTCCTCTGTTTCCACTCCTAAACTCCTCTTCAGAGACGGCGACGACAACAAGTTTCGAAAATGGTATTTCCCCTCTCATAATCTCACGCTCTCCGTCTACTGGTCGCCGTTTCTGGTCGACGGTATAGAAAAATCAAACACCGGCCCCAATCACAACAAGCTCTTCCTGAACCGCGTGAATGAGAAATGGGGCGCCGATTTGGACGATTTCCACGCGGTGGTGTTCTCAATCGGCCATTGGTATCTCCATCCGGCGGTGTATTTCGAAGGGGACGACGACTCGTCATCCGTAATGGGGTGCCATTATTGCCCTGGTTTAAACCACACGGAAATCGGCTTTTACGACGCCCTGAGAAAGGCCTTGCGGACCACATTTCAGACCATAATCGACAGGGGCAACGAAATGGACGTGTTTTTGGCGACATTCTCGCCATCCCACTTCGAGGGGGAGTGGGACAAGGCCGGGGCGTGCCCCAAGACGCAGCCTTTCGAGGAAAACGAGAAGAAATTGGAGGGAATGGAGAAGGAAATAAGGGAAATAGAAGCAGAGGAAGTGGAAGAGGCAAAAGCGAGAGGGAAGCAAATTGGTGGGCTGAGAATCGAGGCGTTGGACGTGACGAAGATATCGCTGTTGAGGCCTGATGGGCATCCGGGGCCTTATATGCATCCATTTCCTTACGCCAATGGCGTTGGGGATCGTGTTCAGAATGACTGTGTTCATTGGTGCTTGCCTGGGCCTGTCGACACTTGGAATCAAATACTTCTCCACATTCTCAACAGAGGGAGATCACAGTGAGACTCTGCCTCAGGGCATTCAAATTTCATTACATTTATCAAACATTATTATACTTGTTTAATTCTCAAATCTCAATCAATCCAAATTCTTTTGAATTTTTCCTTGTGTTGTTCTGAAGGATAGAGCTTTTTTTATCGTGTAAGACAGCTTCGAGCTTCACTTTGTACTGTGTGAAACGTACAAAAGTGAATTCATTATGAAAGGTATTGATGGCTTGGTTTTGGACATTTTTTTTTACCTTTTTTTGGGGCAATTTTTCATCACATTGTTGGTTGAATCGTGTCTTTTTGTCCTTTGGGTTGTATGGAAGTTGATTCATTTAAGGAAATTATCTCTAAGAGGAAATTACAAGCAATACATTTCTACTTGTAAATGTCACCCTAGTCCCTGGCTGGCTGTATTATTAAATTTGTTTGCTTAAATACAAATTGTCTATGAGAACAAATTAAAAGCAATACCTTTCTAGTCAAGCGAGCATAGTTTAACATAATTGATATATTTCTCCATTTAAGAGGTTCTGAATTCGATCCCACCTCCACATGTTATACTAAACTAAAAAAAGATGTCATTTTTTGGTTCATCATAATTTTATTTTTTTATAAAGAAATGCAAGCAAGCTCTTCAAAATTAGAAGTCTTCATTGCACAAGCGATTTGCGCTTCTATGGATCTTCCAAGTAGAAATTCCTCCAATCCATTTCATGAAGTTTGCAAATTTCTATAAGACTTGAATCTTGATTGTTCAACAATCTCTCAATTTCCATCAAATCAGTTTCAATGCAAGTTGGAAAGCTCTCCCTCTTTTTGCAATTGCTTTAAATCTTCCAAAATTGCTATTGCTTCCAGAAATTTGATGCTCATTTGGTGACGAACACGATACCACCAACTAAGATAACATCAACCAGTCTAGTATGACACACTTCTTCCTGCATGGTTAGAGATTGTCATTTAGATTCAACTATATCTTATTCTGTTGTTTGAGTTAGCTTTCGATATTATAAGAATTTTGACCAGAAAATTGCAAGTTGTCTCCTTAAAAAATCACAATTAATTTTATTAATAGATCCCTAACTTTGGATGGAATTTTAAAATAAATACAATCCCTAAATTTTTGTTTTTTTATATTTAAAAAAATTTATGAGTTTATTGTACCACCAAATTTAAAGTTTAGGTTTTGATAAAAACACAAGCTTCAATTTTATATCCAGATCAGTTAATTTTCAAAAAATTTAACAAAAATGGAAAGTTCATGAATTTATTTGGTAACAAACCGAAATTTTATGAATCTCTTAAAAACAAACCTGAAAATTTATTTGACAAAACTTGTAATCTAACTATTAATTTCTTTTATTTTAATAAGTATTTATTATTGTTATTATTTTTTTAAAAGATTTTAATAAGTACTTATTAATTGTATACATTTGGAAAAAAATATACTAATTTGTATATATTATCTTTTAATATTACTAAAATTTAGACAGGCTAGTTATGCTCACATTAGCCATCACTAATATTATTTTACAACATCCATCTCTGATTCTCTGATGGAAAAATCCTATGTAAAATCCGACGATCCTCACATTTCATTATCGATTTCTCGTGCACCACTCTATTCAACGACGCCAATCTTCAGTATCCATGATTTGGCAACGCAATCTTCTCCTCCGTCCTCGTGGGTAAACCATGTTCTCTTGAAATTAAAATTAACATCCAAAAATTTGAGAAACCGGAGCAGAAATTTTCGGAAAATTAACTATATTTTGTTTTTGTTTTTATGGTCCATGATTTTTAAGTTTTTGACTTCATTTCATTAATCGACGAATGCAAATTTAATAATCAGTTTCAGTTTCAGTGATGACGGTAGAATCGGATCTTATCGATTCCCCAATCCCCTGCGGCTGCGATTAGCGAGCTCTGCATTCTATGGCCATAGCCTTCTCCTTCTCGCTTCCCTTGGATCTGCCACTGCCGCACCACCATCGCCTCCTTCGCCGCCATTTCATACACCATCAAACTTTTCCCTCTCTGCCCACTTCTTCTTCTTACCCATTTCCCCGTTCCCTCAAACCTGAGAATCACACCTTTAAAACCTCATCATTGAACTCCTCGCTTCTCGAAGACCCACTTCGGACTGGTCGATTTCTCACCAACGACGAGTTCGAGAAGCTCAAGCTGCTTGGGGATTTTAGGTATTTTCAGGAATTGGAATCTGGGTCCCTCTCGGTTCGGGTTATGAGGGATGATGAACTTGATGCCACTGTTGGGTTGCTTGCTGAGTCATTTGCAGAATCCATGCTCTGGCCTTCTGGGTATATTTCTTTGCTAAGATTTTTGGTGAAACAGTATTTGACCGAAAGGAGGGCTCTGATGCCACACGCAGCCACGCTTATTGGGTTTTACAAAGGCAAGGATGAGGATGAACAAAAACCTGAACAGTTGGCCGGCACTGTGGAGGTTTTCTTTGACAAGAGGGGTGCCAATGCGTCTCCCCCTACACCCACTCCTCCCAAGAACTCGCCTTACATATGCAACATGACAGTTAAAAAGGAGCTTAGGAGGTATGTTTCACTTCTTTGAGTTTCCTTTTGTCCCCAAGACTATGAATTCAAAACTTGAATGAAATTCTGGTGCTATATATAAGTATATATATATTTAACTTAATTATGGTTAAGTCATAAAAGGCCAAAAGGGTATGACTAGAACTACAAAGAGCAATGAAGGAATAGATGAAAGAGATGATCCAAAATTCTTCTTCCTCTAAGCAGAGACTTTATAAGACCTATTTTAGAGGTACATGATTAAATCTAAGAGTTTGAAGTTGTGGAATTTTCAGGAGGGGTATTGGGTGGCATCTATTGAAGGCTGGCGAGGAAATGATTTCACAAATGAGTACCTCAAGAGAGGTGTACCTGCATTGTAGAATGATTGACACAGCTCCTTTCAACATGTATACGAAAGCTGGCTACAGCGTTGTGCAGACAGATACCGTATTGATCTTGTTGATGCTGCAGAGGCGCAAACACTTAATGTGCAAGAAACTTCCTGCCATGACCATGAGCAGCCCTTCTGAATCAGATGTTCCATTTTGTCTTGAAGAATGAATTTGGTAAATGGTATGGAGAACTTGTTTCATATTCTGCTGAGGTAGATAACGCCATCACATATTTACCTTCCCACTTTTACTAATTTTTTTTTTCCTGTCTCCTCTTAAAATCTAAGGAGCATGTAAAATTACTCTGTACATATTTGTAGAATACCGACTATAACTTCAAGATCGTTTTTATTAACTTCTTTCTTGATTATCTTTTTCTTGTTAAGAGGATATATTTATGAAAGTTGGGATTCAATAATGCAATGATTATGTTTGGTAAGACTTTTGTGTTACTGGATAATTGCTGAAAAAAGTTAAAACTATTCAATGAGATACTGTAAGTAGTTGCCAAGATGGATTGCAAGCTGAATGAATGATTCTAAAAGTAAATGATTGTTCTTCTCAGCATTTTTGAGGTGTGTGCTAGCACGCTCCCTAAGTCTTAAGCTTCTTACTTCCCCTGAGATCTGAGACGTGCATAAGTCGTGTACTCATAGAGTTAGGAAATTCTAAAAATATGATAATATAGACTGAGCACAAATACACCTTCAGTGAAAATATCAGGGAAAAGGGTATTCTAGTTAAGTCGTAAGTTTAGTAACAAGTTACATGATTTCGCATATGGATTACTATCTATTTCCTTATTGTTTGATAATATGGGTGTTTATGCAACTCATGGGATATCATATCATAGATAAATAGCTTCCAAGACCTAACTTCATGCTCTACTTTACTTTCATTAAATGAATTTTAGCCAGATATGAAAAGAAGGAAAACAAAACCCAATCATGATTATCTTTCTTTTCCATCACAAGTGGCTTGCCCAGTTGAGTTCGGTTGTTGCCAACAGAAATCTTCATTAGCTACTACTTGGTATTGGTAACGTAAATTACTTTTGTAAGTACGCATCTGTTGAACTATTAAGATGGTTCTCTCTTTATGATTAATCTTTAGAAAGATTTATGGTTCCGTTCCAAGGCTTGTTCGTCCTTTCAAGCTTTCAGCTTTGAACAGGAAATGTACGTTCGAGTCTAAGATAATATAAAGCAGTTCTGTCAGTAGTTCACCAAATTATTATGGTTTATACATTTCATGAATGTGTTGTGTGTAACTGATAATCATATGGAACCATATGATAATGGGAAGGTTGGTATTGTAATCTGCAGTGATCTCAAGGACCATTGTGAGATCCTCAGCAGTAGGAGAGGGTGTACAAGTTGATCTTAAAACTGCCCCTGCTAAAATTAGGTTGAAGAAGCACGATCAATTGATATCACGACTCACAAGGGCGAGGAATTGCAGAGGACAGTTTACAGTTTAATTACACCCATTTCACCAATATTGTTATATACACACATTTTATGCATATTCATGATTGTCCTCATGCGTGGGCATACAATATTTGGTAGGTGGTGAGATTATATTACGTAGATGTTGGGGGCAACAAAACGACCTTCCACGTGTTTTTGGTCGAGGAATGTCACATTATCATAATAGTCTGATGTATGAATCTAGCTTTTGTATGACCAGTATATAGAACTAAGATAACTTCAAGAATGACTCGGATACCTCTCCTAGCCGAGCCGACAAATAAACTACATAGGCTCCGACCTTCTTAAAGGTCGAGCCAACCTATATGAATCCTAAAGACCGACCTTAATAAAGGTCGAGCCAACGTATATAAGACTGTGCCTAACTACTCTTTAACCGTATTTCTGACAATACGCCTGTAAATAGAGGGTCCCGCCCCATATATTAGATATAAGATTCTATTCCTCGTCTAGAGAGCTATAGATCAAACTCATATTGATTTGAGTATTGGAGTCTCTTTCTCTCGCTATGAAGGTCAGCCCTCCTTCTATTTGTGCTTGACGACTAAAATTGTGTAGAAACAGTTGAGATACTTGCCATGAAGGTCAGCCCTTTGATTCGTGCCTGACGATTAAAATTATGTAGAATCAGTTGAGATAAGACATGTCAAGTAGTCTCTATCTTGAACACCCCATTCTTTCTTGTTCGTGAGTCGGTAAGTAATTAAATATGCAGCAAAATGTGGAGGGGAAGTTTGTGGTTAGTAGCTGTCCGTCAGACCAGACATTAAAGTGGCAGTTGAACTTCTCCTAACCAATTTAAAGCTCCCCCCCCTTCACCACTGCTATATATTCACGCGTGTCTCTGTCCTTTCTCAACTCACTCTGCAACTATGGCCTGCGTTGGAAAGCTTGAGTTAGAGACTGATGTGAAGTCGAGTGCGGACAAGTTCTGGAATAACATGAGGGAGTCAACCATCATCTTCCCCAAGGCCTTCCCCCACGACTATAAAAGCATTGAAGTCCTTGAAGGCGACGGGAAAGCTGTCGGTTCCGTTCGTTTAATTACGTACGCCGAAGGTAAAATGTTGCAATAACTTTAGCTTCTTTCTTATCATACTTGGAAATCATTCGTCTCGACGTGACTTCATGGATCAGGTTCTGAGCTTGCTAAGGAATCGAAGGAGAAGATCGAAGCTGTGGACGAGGAAAAGAAGACGGTTTCTTACAGTGTGATAGAGGGGGATCTGCTCAAGTACTACAAGAGTTTCAAGGGGCACATTTCGGTGAGTCCCAAAGGAGAGGGAAGTTCAGTGAAATGGAGCTGTGAGTATGAGAAGGCGAGTGAGGAGATTCCTGATCCTCATATCATTAAGGACTTTGTAGTGAAGAATTTCCGTGAGCTGGACGACTACACTCTGCAGGCATAGACCAAACGGCATCTCATTTAAGGAGGATGTTTCTAATGGCTAATGCCGAATAATGTGGTTCCTCTAATCTGCGTTTGTTGTGTTTAATGTTCTCTTGATCTGCTTCTTGGCGGTTAAATGAATATAATAATTCTCTACTTGTTCTTTCTAAGTTTGCATTATGCACAATGCATGCACTTTTTCCTCAGGTTTAAACTCATACTAAAAATGAAAAAAGAAAAAAAAAATGGAAAGAGTAAAGTTATACATGGATGAGGGGATGGGGACGGAATAATAGTTTGTCTTAGATTTAAAAAAAGGAGAAGAAGATATATACAAATATATATATATATATATATTTAAACTAATTTAAATTTTATGTTTTTTTTTAATTTACCCATTCCCTCAAAATCTTTGAATGGAAAGATTATACATATGAAAAGTTAGTTAGAAGGTAAGAAGCTCCTCTATAAAAATTTTGGCTTCACCTATAAAGAAGATACATTACAAAATATCATTGAACAAGTCTCAGCTTCTCTTCCCCAAAGCAATTATTCAGCCAAATAAGTTATGATATAAAGCAATATTCTGGCGGAAAAGAAAAAGTAGCATAAAGTAATATTATGCAGGACCAGAGGGTGAAATTACATATTGTCCACTTGAAAAAAGAGTTAAATTTATTAGGGCTAGTTCGATGACATTTTTGTTTCTCGTTTTCTGATTTTGAGATGCGTTGTTTCCACCATAGAAATTTTGTAACAAAATCAAGTTTTTTATTTCTTGTTGTTGTTTTCATTTTTTTCCAAAATAGAAATAAAATCATGATTTTATCATTCTTGAGTTATAAAGTACACAATAAGTATTAAAAAGTAATAAATATTACATAAAAATATGAATATTTACTTAAAAAATAATTTTTATATAAATTCTACTTTATCTCATTGAAAATTTTAGAAAAAAGAAAAAAAAATTCAATAAAAAAGAAGAAAAAACCATATATAATTACATGTTATGTTTTTATTATTAAAAAAATAGAAACATGTAACAAAAAAAAAAGGAATGTGACTCAACTTGACGGCCCTTAATTATTTACGTTTCTTTACTTGGTATTTCTTTCTTGAACTTTTGTGAGTGGCCTGTGTGGCCTTCTTTAAATATTAATAAATGTATGATAGTTGTTAGTAAACCAATTTTTTTAGGAATAGTGTTTTCACCTTTTAAAGAAGCCTATTTGATAATATTTCTAACTTTCCTAATATAAAAAATATTTTGAAGTATGTGTAGAAGAAGAACATATATTAATTGATGTTTTATTTCCCAAAAATACCATTTTAATACTTTTGGTGCAAATATATATATATATATATATCTTTAACCTTCCACCATGAACTTCTTTTTTCACAATTTTATACCTTTCGTCTCATTTTCTTTTATTAACTTTTCTCTATAAACACAAAAGCTCCTCTCTTTTTTATTCATCAATCAAAGTTTTGATTGATAAGCACATTTATATGACAAATAATAGAAAAAAGGTAAAAAATCAAGAATTTTATAAAAGAAATAATTAACGGTCAATTTTTTTAATAGTAGTTTATTTAATATAGCTAACACCTAAGTCATCCAATACATATGTTATTACTCTCTTCACACATACACTTCCTCTCGTTAATTACCTTCATATATACAAGTTTTCTATCTCTTCTTAAACTCTCGCTTAATTTGTTTTTAATTGTAATTATTTATGAAAGTATCTCTCGAGCAAATATTATTTAAACAAAAAAATTACATTTACATGAAAAATAAAAACTTGAATTTTCGGTTTAAACTGTTTATTGAAAGTTATTGCAATCAAGTTCCAATGATCAAAAGAGGAGATAAGTAAAAGAAATAGAGAAAAAGGATGGATCATACATTCATAACAAAAGGATCCCATAATGAAGACAGCACAATATTATATATACAATTGGTCTCAACGCCAAGATTGAGATTCCACGAAAGCCAAAAAGCAGCTTAATTCTGATGACCAGATTCCATTTCAAATAACATATGATCCTGATCATCTTTCTTTTTTTAAGATATTTTTACACTCTAGATTCTTCATCCAGAAGTGGAACTTTGGCCGAAGACAAATCATTGCTCTTGTCATCTTTCTCTTCTCCTACTCCTTTGTCTTCGTTAAGTTGCCCCCACATTACTGTATAATATCCCATTCCTGCTATAAATGCTGCCATCACACTGCATAGCCAAAACAACACAATTTTTACTCTCTTTCAGCAATTATATCATAATCCTGTAACAATGTGACTACTGGTTTTATACGATAAACTTTGATTTCCACCATGCATCCAATGGTTAAATAGTTTTTCATTAGAATTATGTCTCTCCTGTATATTAAATTCCTAACTTTTAAAATTATCTAATAAGTTATTGACCTATTAGATACAAGTAATTCTCAAGAGGTAGAAAAATGGTTGTACCTTCCATAGTGAAAAGTGTCACCAAAGAAGGTGGCACCGAAGAAGGTAGCGAAAAGAATGCCAAAGGGCTTGAACATGGGCACGTAAAAAGGCCCTTTCATCTGCATGCACCATATTTGCACACGGTTTCGGATTAAACCGCTAAAAGTTCCCTGCAAAATCCATCATTTTTACTATTAGAATAAACGGCCGAGTAGTTTTTTATATTAAAATACGTGACTCATTGTCATGATAATCAAATCTTGTTCTTGAAATTATTATATAAAAAAAACTTTTTTTTTTAATCGTTATCTATTAAGTTGTAAAATATTTAAGGGTGCTAGGATAAGATTAGTCACCATGGTTAAAAGAGCAAAATATTTTTCTTTTCGGTGACAATTTTCAATAGGGACGAAGATAAGATTTTTTTGAAACTGTTCTTCTTACCGTTGCAATAATGAGAAAAAGGTCAAAGCTGGTTTTGATTCTCCATGCACTCGAGTCGTCCACTACAAGGAAAGCCACTATTGCGGACATAAATGTGCCCACTATACTATAAAAGGAGGCCACTTTCATCACTTGTGAGTATTGTTTTACTACTCCCAACTGACCAAGAAATGATCACAACCAAAGGATATGTTAAAATAATTGCAAAACTTTGAGGGGAAAAAAAGAATTTCACAGGTGTGTATTAATTTGAATTTAAGACCTGGATGATGTTCCATAATGAGATGCATAAAGAAGCAGCTGCTAATAAAAGGCCACCCAAAATCCAGCGCTCTGTGGTGGAGGTGAACACCAAAAGCTTTTGTTTGAATTGTAAACGAAAATTAGAAGATGAATAATGGTGTTGTCGTACAACTGGGCCTAAGTAGAGCTCCTCGGTCGTCGCCCCCACAATTGATATTATTGTGCCAACTACTTTCACAATGAAGCTCCGACTATTCCACTCAATCTTTGTCCTCCTAACAAAAGTTTATAATATATCTAGGTTAATCAATTGTTTTGAGATGAAATCGGTATCAATGTCCAACAAATTTAAACGAATATCTGGATTAAGATTGATAGGTTCAAAAAAGTCACCATCTCGAAGAGGTTTATAATATGGATAAGCTATTCTTCATGTTTATTTAATATCAGAAGTAGGAGCAATATATATTGGTCTTAAAGAAAATAAAATGAAAGAAAGAGGAAGAGAAAAAAAAAACCTGAGAAGGACAGAAAGTACGAAGGAAATGGCTGGGATCATAAGGCCCATTGCGCATACAACAATTGGAGAGCTGTAGCTTAGGCCCATAAATGCAAGGTTCTGAGAAACACATATCCTACAATAGAGAACAAACAGCAAACAACAAAAATATGAACTTTATATTAATTCTCTGAATATCAGTAAATTTTATTCTAGCCAATATTAATTACGTAGGTTTCCTTCTCCAAACAATTAAACTTACTAAAAATTTCATCGTCAACTCAAAAGTCAAGAAAATGTGATACAAACCACAGTAAAAGGACAAGACCCAACTAGATTTCGTACTCCTGGTTCTATAAACGACTAAATTTACCATAATTTATTAGCTTTAAGTCTTTTTTAGCAAGGAGAGATTAAACATGTAAAATGGTATCAGAACAATATCAAAGCTGACTGCATCTTCCTCCGAAGTTCACTGTTTTCAGAAAAGAAAAGTTAGAAAGGAGAGAGACTACGAACCCTGTGAAACCCAAGAGGAAGATTCGGATGAGGATGGGGAAGGTAAACAAAGATTGTTCTGGTTCGGCTCTGCATACAACACACAAAGTTGTAATTAAATAACTGAGAGTTGTTGATTTAATTAGAAGAATAATGAAGTTAAGGGATTATGGGATTGGAACCTGTGGTTGTAATGAAAGATGAAGGAATAAGGGAGAAGAATGATGGAGGCAACTGCGTTTGTGTAGACAACATATACAAAAGTGCTCATTCCATAAGTAATGGCCGTTTTGGCCATTATAGTTAATGCAATAGTGGTGCCTTCCATGGCGACCATGGCCACAAATGGCACCACTCCCCATATTTCACCCCTAAGTTCCATCATCTCTCTGTGTCTAGCTATTATGCAGGTTTTTGGAGATGGTCTCTTATTTATGCTCCACAGACCACAAAAATGGAGTGATTTGTGAAGAAAGAGAGAGGGCAACCTTTCAAGGCGTTGTGCAGCCACTTGAGAAACGGAAGCAGCAACTCGAATTTTGGGTAATTATTAAAAGAGGGTGACGTGAGAAAAAAGCTGACTAGATATATGTCTGTTTTTATACCATATATTTGCCTTTCCCTTGGCTCTTCTTTTGTTGAACATGAGACTACACGTCAAGCGGGTCACTATAAAAGCCTTTTGTTAGGTTTTCCTTCCATTTTTTAAGATTTAAATCTGGTCGTATTTGTTCGTTTTGGTTCATGTACTTTAAAAATATCTCTTTTAATTGACGTAATATTTATATAAATAACTGTCAATAATAAGGTATCTAAAGGTTATTCTCTTTGAGTTTTTGTACTTTTAATTTTTATTTATCTTGGTGTCTGCCTTTTTAACCTTTATCCAATTCCGTGCTTTTATTTTCAAAATGCTTATATCTCCATTAAAAGAGTGACCATGTGGTCTTTTTGTGCTTTTCTTTTTCGACCATAATTTTAGTCTTATATTTGTATAAAATGGTATTAATTAGAGTTAAAACTTTATAAACATAAACAAAAATGATCATTACATAGACGTTTTGAAATATAGGTATTTAAAACTGACAAAATTTAAAAGTAGAGAATTAAAATAGTAGTTAAACTAAATTTTGGTTAGAAAAAATAAAGAAAGAAAAAGACAAAGTAGCTTGCGCACATCGAATGCGTGGCCGACATTGAGAGAGGCCCCACTTAAAAAGGAAAAAAAATATCTTTTGAGGTCCCACCACATCAATAACGTCATCGAAGAACGTTTCGATTTTTCCCACAGTTTAATTAGGAAACCAAAAGCATGTCACCGTTTAGGGTGTAAAATAAGGAGGGCAATTGCTAAAAAAGAAATTTTAAAACTAACAATTATTAAAATTTGGAAGAAGCACAATTACACCAACAACAAAGTAAAAGTCTAATATATCCTTTACGAACACAGAGTCCAAACGCCAGGATCAAACAATAATACACCTAATATATTAATGATATACCTTCCTATATAATTTGATGTACGTGATTACTAGTATTGATATATTAACTATATACTTGATATAAGTATTGATATGTTACTTGTCTTTACTGTATTTAGTTTCTCGGTTGAATTAGCTTGTGTTATTTGCATATTTGAGATGAAATATCTATCTTTTGTAACATAAATGAATTTTTTTATCTGTACTTCATATAATGTTGATATACCTAATTTGTTATATATTACTCAAGGAGTCAATAATAATGATATACCCAATTATAAGTGCTGATATAATAATGATATATTTGATATGAATGTTGATAGATATCTCTGATATAGTTATATGATTTGAAATATTGATATAGTTAAAAATTTGAGAGGGTTAAAATTGAAATAACTAAATTTAATTATTAGATTTCAAATATTTTATCATATTTCCAAAATTTGAAAATTATTGTTATATATAAATGTGTCGAATATTTTAGCTAAGGGTACCCATTATAAATTTCCAAACAAAAAAAATATATAGTTGATTTCATTAAATAAAGTATTGGATGGACTTGAACTCGTAAAAGGTCGGCGGCCTTTTTATGTCTGTAATGAGTAATGACATCAGCATTATCGTCTATATTGTATACTACTTTGGTTGAGAAATATGATTATATGTCTTGCCCTTGGCTTATCTTAAATAAGCAAATTAGAGCCCACCTTCCCATAACCACAATATTTCACTGCTTATAATAGTAATAATTATTTTTAGGGGTAAGTTACAAATATGATAAAAAAATTTAGTAAAATTTATAAAATAGTAATCCCATTTAATTTTTCAAATACAATACTAAAAAAGAAAAATAGGTGTCCAATTTTAAATGACAACTTTACCCAAATTATATACATTTATAATACTAGTTCGAAACCTCGTGCAAATGCACGAATATTTTCTATTTAATTTAATTTTACAATAACATAAGTAAATGAGAAAAAACAATATTAGTATAATAATAACAATAATAAACAAAAAAAGAAAAAAATTAAGATGTATATATACAAACTTCATTAAAATATAGGTACTTTACTAATTTAATCATTTAATCTATGAATGTATTTAAATTACATTGTTTTGTACCTCTTAAAGAATTTTATATTTGATTAAGAAATGTATAAATACTTTAATTTTTTATTTTAATGTTATTTTATCTAATTTTGGTCCATTATTTTCTAAAAATATTTTGTTTGTTTATTAAAAATTCTAAAAAAATTTCAAGCTAACATTTTGTTATATATTAAATATTTTAGTTTATACTAATTTAAATTCAAGTTAGTATATTCCAACTTTTTAGATTTCATACAAATTATTGTACATAATTAATTTATTAATTTACTATTTACAATTAATTAAAACTTTATGACCTTACACAAATTTTTTTTCAACAAAATCAACATGAACTTGTAATAGATCAATACATTATTATTATTTTCTCAAAAAACATTCTAAATACATAAAACACTAATTATAAAAGAACAATACAAAACAATAGTAACAAAAAAAAATCAAAGTTTATCAATACACTAATCTAAAATATGTTGATGCTTAACAATCACTATTATTTTACTTCATAAATTATGGAACGATGATCTCGCAAGTCTTGGATTCAAGATATAGTGTCGACACATGTATTCTCTATGACTTGATGAATATGTCGCCAACATGATTTTGAGATGTTTTTGAGATTGAATAATATTTGAGAGCAATGTTTTGAGAGAATTAAGTGTTGTGAAAAAATAGYRAAAKAAAGTATGTTTTTATAGTATTAGGAGATAAAACGTTACAAAACTCTTGTAATTCTATTATAAATTGTAAYTAAAGAAAATAATTTAATTTAATAGTGTGAAAAACMTTTTGTATTCTAACCTTGTTTAGATCATGGATATTTATTATTATATTATTATTGATAATTAATAATCAATAATTAATTTAATATTTATAATAAATTATTAATAACATAATTTGTAAATTAATAAATTAAGAAAGGGACAAAAGCGTCCAAAAATGTTTCTCCCAGATCCTCCCATTTTAATATAGTATAGATATCTATAATATATCTGTAATATATTTATAATATATATGGATATTGAGATTATGCAAGTATGATTAAGAAATGCTTAAATGAATTTGGTAGCAACTATCTATACCTATAAAGTACACTTTCATTTTCAAGATGGTAATCATAAAAATTTTAAAATTAAGCATGTTTGGCTTGCACGTGTCCCTAGGGTGGAATGAGCATTGGATGAGTTTAAGTGTCTCGAACCGATTAGCGGTCTATCCACTTCGTTGTCCTCTCACGTGGCAATGTTGCTTTACATCTCAAACAAAAGTCCATGAAACATGTAGAAAATTAATTCTCCTACATAGATGATCATAGTGAAGTTTAAACACTCATTCCGTCTATATTATTTTGAATTATCTTGAATGAGCCAACCCACGATGGTTATTACAAAATATATAATTAAAAAGTAAGATATTTTGAATTTTTCAAGATTATCGTTTGTATTTCGCTCAATTGGGGTGCTTTCCTATTGCCTCCATTTTGTGTATGTTTCTCACGTTCTAATGAAATGGTTTCGATATCTTTTGAAAAAGAAAAAAAAAGATTATCGGTCGTAATTTGTTAGTCTAGTTAATATGTAGCCATAACGAGTGGGGCTACATATATTTCCATCCAATTTAACCTTAATTTTTCATAACATATTGAAAATTTCATCAACATACACGAAGAGAAGCACACCTCTTGAAAAATTCAACTGTGAACTAATACACATACATATCGAAGATGAGAGAATAATTAAAATAGAAAGTAATGAAGATGTTTCAATGTTTGTATCAAGTTATTTTAATTTGGATGAGTTCTAATGGAAGTTGACCCCAACTGGGCGTCGGCCCCGCCATGGCATTTGGCCGTGCACTTTGGCGTCATGAAATGGCCACACACTCACTTTGCCGCTGCTCTCACACCACCGCCAACTCCTTGGTCGTGCCTCCCATCTCTCTGACTTTCCATTTTCTTCCCTTACAAAATTATATCATGAATTAGGGTTTATGCTACCAAAATTATATATATTATAATGTAGCTATAGCTGGGCAACTCATTTTAATTAAAAATTTTGTCAATGTTATTATTTTAGCATTTTACTTACAATGTCTAAGGCCAACTTCTTTTTCTTTTCAGAAGTATTTGAAGAAAATAATATAATTATATGGGTATGCAAATATATAGAATGTATGAATATATATTGGTCTCAATCTCAAATGATTGACATTTTGAAAAACTTCAAATGCAGCCAAAGGGGAATAAGGGATATTGCAGGCCATGTCTTGTATAGATAACTAAGTGCGTAATTAATTATATCTTTCTCGATTCACATCATTTTGAAAATTTCACTTCTTTCTAACACTCCATTTTCGGAGCATAATTGCTTATTTGACATCATTAATGTCAAACATCAGTACTCGATCTTTGTGTGTGTGTCGGTCCAATAATTTTAACTTTTTTAATTCTTTAAGATAGAGATCAGCACATTTTCTTGTAACCTTTACTTATTTGGTTTTTTTTTTTTAAGGTAGAGAATATTGGTCTTGTTGGGGCATCTTAGGAGACACGAGTAGCCCAGATCCCCCAATATATTGTATTTGTAAATCTGGGCCAATGATCCCTTTATCCAATAAGGCTCTGTTGTTCTTGATCTTATTCCTTTCATGTTCTCAGCTTTTGTTTTTCTTCCCTTTCACAGCTCAAAGGACAAACCAGATTGATTATATTCTTCACATCCCAAATTTGGATGCTTTCCTATATCACTTAGTTCATGTACTGTTAAAGAAATTTTGATTAGTATAATCTTTTTTTCTTTTATATCTCGGTGAGTATTTGTATCCGTTTATGAGCACAT